ATAGAAAACATACAAAATTAAGAACTTTGAACGGTAGCAACATCTAAAATGAAGAGAAAATAATAGCATAAACAAGCTGTTAACGTTCCACACTACCTCAAACAAAAGGTTAGGAAAGAAACTCCCATCAATACTGGAAAGAGCGATAACAGTGGATTTGAGAAACATATTTTCTCGAAACGCTGTTTTAATATAAAGATTTCATAAATTTCAACCGACAGGCTGCACTGGCTGCTTGGTCAATAAATGCCCAATGTTTCCTTATAATGAAACGGCTAATATTCATATTACCCATTATAGAAACTGAGATATCAGTATTGGGATCTGTAAGTTCAATGTTTCTTTTTTTCGTGTGAATAATGGAACATTTAGGGCAGAGACACCTTCAATTCTTTACGAAGTTTCCTCAACACTTATGAGAGTTCTCCTTTCTTTTGACATAAATGACTTTTTCCTCTCAATATTTCATCTTTTAACACAGTAAGAAATCTCCCACACTGATAGAACAGATTGGAATAACGTGTGTCAGCGTCAGATTCCTATTCGTATATAAACTATATTTTGTGGCTTCCCTAAAAAAAATAATCATTACAGAGATAGTCGCATAATTCTAGTCCCTAGGAGGCTCTCGGCAATGTCCTTTATTTAATAAGCAAAACGCGTATTCTTTTCAGTTTATACAAAGTTTCGCTGAATGATAGTGTTATATTTACCGAAGACCGTACATGAAAAATTCACTATATGAATTTAATTTCGGAAACAACTTTTCTCGCTTTCCCTAGTAACATAATTTATGAACTTCTGCGCTTCCGTATAAAATAATATCTTGGTTACTATCATTGTTACTTCCAACATAATTTAATTCACTGAATGCCAACTGACTTTCTATCCAATGGCGTACCGTGATAAAGTCACGTTCTTATCTTTCTGTCACTATTTCATTTAGCGAGTTTTGCACCTACTAAAAAAAGTAAAACTAAAATAAATCATCGTGCCTTCACGATTATGAGAAACACGTTTTACGTTAAAATTTTTTTCTAAAGGAAGTAAAAAAATAGAAGAAATATGGAGATATAGGTATTATTATTTCCCTAAAATAAAATCAATGACTATTTTTAGCAGTTTGTTAAATTAGTTGATAGTTTTACACACATAAAAGACCAATAAAAACATCTCATTGTAGTGAAAAATAACTGGAAGAAGCTTTATTTAATGACATAGAAGGAGGTTTTTTTTTCTTGAATGAAATCAAAATGCCTTTATGTATCTGAGGCAGATGTCTTTGCTTATCAACTGAAAATATATTACAAGTTTATAAAAATTAATCAAAACACTTTGCGGTTGAAATATACAGCTAATGAAATGAATTGGTTTATTAATAAAACAAATGAATAATTTTTATCTATTCCATATTGTTAACTTTATTGACGAGCAGGTGGTGTATCGATTATCGTCGTGGAAAGTGAAATCGGCCAACCGTGTTCGAGTTCCAGCTTAGTCTGCTGTGTACACTGTGGCACACATACACTTAGGAAGCGTACGAACGCATCACTTCTCCCCATTCCAGCTATGGGTTAAATAGGGGAATATACTAGGCTCCCTATTCTTGAGTGGTAACCAGTTTGATAATGGTAATAGTAATATTAGCCGTTTCCCTACGAGGAAATATTTGGCATTTACCGACCAAGCAGCTACTACTGCTTTTAGTTGAAATTTATAAAATCTTTCTCTTAAACATTTTTTCGGGAAAATAGGTTTTTAAAGTCATGTATCGAAAGATACATGATCGCCAAAGCGTGTATCACGTATGGCAACTGACTGAATTGTTATCTCTCTTTTCAGTATTAATGAGGGTTTCCTTCCTAACTCTTTATTTAAAGTAGTAGGGAATGCCATCATTTTGATTATGTAATTGTTTTCCCTTCGAGGGATATGTGTTATCAATTTTAGTTATTGCTAAGGAAAACTAAATTCCAAACCATCGAGAGGGCAACAGGTAACTAACCCAGGATATTTCACAAGAAGTCAATTTTACAGCTATATGGTAAATATTTAAAGGATACTTAACGCATTACCATGTTAAAGATTAATGAACTTTCATTTGGAGTGGCTTAAATTGTTCCAGCCCAAATTTTAGAATCTTTAAAATGGTAATGTCAATTGTAAGATTAGCCGTTCTCTTATAAGGAAACTCTTGACATTCATTGATCGAACAGATATTGTTAATATCGACTGAGTCTTTCTATTAAAACATTTTTTCCGGGGAAATAAGTTTCTCAGCTCAACTGTTGTCGCTCTTGTATTTATAGTGATTTCCTTGTTAATATATTCTTTAAGGTAGCGTAAATATAAATAAAATAAATATTTTGATTATGTTATTATTTTCTCTTCGAGTTGCATATGCTATTAATTTTAGTTATTGCTGCTGTTGAACATTTTCAGGTAATGTGATTTCTGTTATTTAGTAAAGAACTCTTGCCGTGATTCTGTAGCCCCAGTCCACGAGAGCTGACGAAGGAAAGTCCTCTTGAATACCTATAGGGTTCATTCGCAATTTTTAATCATTTATTTGAGAAAACAGTTGTATAATAGCCGATAGTTAACACATTTCCGAATGAGCTGGATGCCATGCACGACAGCCATAGCGATTTTCTAAGCGCTGCTTATATGTGGCACAAGGCCGGAAGTATGGAGCACCCAGTGAGGATTGAACTCACTACTCAGTCGTAAAATGTTCTAGCGAGACAAGCTTGCTAACCATTACACCACGCCGAGGACGACAGCCATATTGGAGTCTTTGTTTGACGAAGCTATTTAAGAACATGACTCGAGTTCTTATGTTAATAACTGCTCTTAGCGAAGCCTATTCTATGTTTCGTTATCTCATATACCAATTCTATTATAGCTGATTCATCCACCTTAGTATTTGTTGTGGTAAACCCTCCTACAGTAGAATGAACTCTCCCTCCTCTCATAAATACAAACTGCGAGAGTCGGATAGACGGAAGTGGAGTAGTAAACGCAGTGCTAATCTACTTATTACTAACACTATTGTTTTGTATATATCTTCAATATACTTTTTCAACCTACCTTCGTCTTCTGTGTCTTTCTTTCTGGCCCCTAAACAGACCACACCAGTATTTGAAGTGTTAGGTATTTAATAATTTCACATTTTGGACGGAGTCAGGGTAGGTACCATCACTACTTTCATTCATAGTTTCTGTATTGAGTGTCCTACATTTATGTAGGTAAAGAACTGATTTTAGAATATTATGAGACAGAAAAAATAACTCAATCTATAACATTAAAGGAATTTATAATTCTTTTCAACAATTTTATTCCTGACTGATTTAATTGTTATTGATAATCCACCCGAAAACGATACTATGTGAGGTAAAGTAAAAAAAAGAAAAGAAAAAAAAGAAAAAGAAAGAGGCTTTGAGTGCGTCTTGAATCTAATTCTCAGAGGTTATCAAGTCACATGATGAATATTTTTTGCCCGGATGTAAAAATTGAAATCCCATTTATTGTCTACCTGTCTCTTATATGACAGTGAATACTGGACAGTTTCTTCACAGATGAAGAGGCAAATTCAGGCAACAGAGATGTAATTCTATAGACGGATGCTAAGAAGGCCATGGCCACAACATGTGAGCAAGGGAAGAGTTTTAAGGAAAACAGCAACAAAAAGGACACTTGTGCTTAAAATCAGAAAGAAACAGTTGAAATTTCCGGGACGCACAATGAGGAAAGATGGACTGAAAAACACAAGGAGGATATATTGAAAACAAGTAGAACAGAGTGAAACATCGAAAAAACTTCCTAGCTTGTGCCAGTGGATAGAAGAACATGGAGAAGTGATAGTAAATGGATAAACATTACTTAGAGCTAAACATGATAGGAAGAGTGTTGATCGACCCCATCAGGAAAGAACACGACACATAAAAAGGTTACATTCATGTGTTTAGTCTTAAATGTTACTTTAATAAAGTAAAATATGGTGACCAATAATGCAGCATTATTTCTGTGTGCTGGACAGTTTTGTAGGAATTGGTTAATTCTTATTTCCTATTATATTCCTACATCTCGATGCTTTGCTTTTTTGGAACTCAGCTATATTAAATCTTTTTCTAATCCGCGCACCAAGTGTTTGGTTTAGTTGATATTTGAACTACAGTTTCATTTAAGAAAGGGTTTGGACCTTGTTTAGATGTTTTGTCCTCCGACCCGGCAAACTGCGATTTCTCTATCTCCCGCCAGATTTCATTTATGTAAAAAATAATTCAAAATAAAGCACATTAGTTTAATTTTTTATCATTGAATAATTTATCTGGATTTGCATCCTCGAATAAAAACGTTCACATCAATTAAATATCACAACCAGAAGTTAAGCTTGTTTATATTATCGGAAGAACCTTCCCGAGTCTCGTTATTTTGAATTCAGGAAGAATATCACATTTCGTATCTAAAATATGACTTCAAAATAAACTACTTTTTTGCTTTTATCATGCACTTTGCATTCAGACTCTATATCAAATATTAATGGCAGATCTTCCATTAAATCCAGTGCCCAAGTTTTGACATTTACTAAAATTCTCTCGCCGATCTTTTGTCGGTATCACGAACTTTCTCGATAAAAAACAACAATAAGTTGGTTTCAACATTATCGAATAGTGTTTGACGAATCATATTTGCAGAGTGGAAACTTGTCATTAAAAAAAATCGCTATAAATTTTCAGTCAGTTTGATTGATTCGTTTTCCACAACTTTGCATGTTATTTAAAGCCAGAGAATATTTTTAGATTGCGAGAATGTTTCTTTAAAGATAACAAGAGTCTAGTTAAACAAGTTTCATTAATTAACCCATAGCTGGGAGGAGAAGAGGTGGATTCATACTTTTTTTCCAATTTGCGCGTAACGAACCCAACTGGAATTAGAACTCGGCGCTCCGATTAACAATTCCGAGCAGTTATCCATTACAACACGCGTACATCCAAGTT